CCCACCTCTTTGCCTGCAGAGCCACACGGCACCCATCAGCTGGCCCCCTGCAGCCCCCAACCCCGTCCTCCCCACCTCCCCTCGTCCTGCCAACCCGGGGGAGGCAGAGCTGCGCGACTGCTTCTGTTTATAAGGGGAAGCTCAAGGCGGATTCCCAGAAGTACCCGTATGCTTTAGAAATGAGTCTAAGTGACTTGACTGCGGTTATTCGGAGTCGTGGTGGCAGAGGTCAGAGAACTGGCTCAGGTCTATCTGCCCCCCCAAACATCCTCTGTGGCCAAGAGGAGGACAAAGCATCCTCGTGCTGGGCAAAAACACTCAGCTGTGTGGCTGCTCCACTGCCTCTGCTTTTTGCTAGACCCCATCAGCGATGTGAGCAGCACAAGCTGCACCTTGGAGGCACTGACTGGCCCCGCAGAGCACTGTCCTGCAGCAGCTCCAGTCCCCAGGGAAGTTTGTGGGCCCTCACCTTGCTGCTTCAGCCAGGCCCGCTCCTGAATGAAGCCGATGAAGGGGGCTATGCCAGTTCCCGGTCCAATCATGATGACGGGCGTGCTGGGTTTGAAGGGCAGGCGAAACTGCGACTTCCTGACGTACATGGGCACCAGAGAGTTGCTCCCGTTCTCATCGGGCACCTTGTTCTTGAGCCAGTTGGTGGCCACCCCTTTGTTCAGGCGTCCCGTCTTGGTCTCGTACTCCACCGTGACGGCACAGATGTGGATGGTGTTGGGGTGAACCTGCGGGGAAGGGATGTCAGTGCCAGGCAGAGAGGGAGCCCCAGCAACCCCACAGCTCATTCCCTTGTGCTCAGGGATGGGGAGAAGTTTAACCTAATGTTAACGTTGGGACAGCTATTCCTCCCCTGGCAGACCAAACCTCCCAGCATGCCCCACATGGGGCTTCTGTCTTGCGCCCGACTCGTCACAGGACCACTGAGCTTCCCTCGGTATTGCCAACAACCTCAGGGCTTCAGGCACAAAGTAAAGAGTGAATTCTGACCAACCCCTAAAATGCCACCTTGCTTCCAAGCCCTGAAAGCAAGGCCTACGGGTGAAGAGGAGCAGGGCTGCAGGGAGGGTGGTGGTATCAGGGCGCAGCTGGCTGCAGCGTGGGACCCTCTGCAGACCCTGTGGAAGTTGGGATAACCCCCTCTTCTCATGCACAGAGATAACTAAAGCTCTCCCCCTCACAGAAAGCGTTGCCAGGGCAAGTTCCCCATGTCCGGTCGCCAGCTGAGAGGGGGACCGTGGCACTGTGGAGCTGCAGCTGAAGCGGTCTCTCAGCAGCCTCAGTCCCTTGCTGGAAGCACGCTCACCTTGGAGGAGGAGGCAATGGAGTAGTAGCGGGCCTGCAGGCGGGGCAGGAGCTCACACAAGTGGTCGATGGGGGGCCGCAGCGAGGGCATGTCCTGCAGGATGGCCAGGATGTTCCTCCGGGCCTCCACCACCCAGCTGAGGTAGAGAGCCTGCGGGCAAGGGCACATGCGTGACAACTTCCCTATGTGGCTGGCAAACACTCCCTCAGCTCTCTGCACATGGTGCCCAACGGTCCTGGATCCCTTTTGGGGATCCTCCAGCACCCAGTTCAACCCAGCAGCTTTGCTGGGAAGGCCACAGCTCCCACCTTCCCCTCAGCAGCAGACGATGCCATTTTGCGGAGGCGCTCCTGCTCGCCGGTGTCCGTGGCGTACTGGGCCAGCTCATAGAGGACATTGGTGCGGGGCGGGTTGGTGATGTCCAGGTAGTACGTCAGGGCTGTACGGTAGGACGTGGGGCAGGGGAAGGGATGTTTCTTATTGGATTCCTCTGGAGAAGAGGGAGAGGAGGAAAAAAAAAAAAAAAATTAAAAATCAGCAACCGCGTGCTGTTATGTTAGAGATCTCGTGCCAGCAGCTACATGCAGTGTATGAGAGCTGGAGACAGCAGAGGAACCGGCTTCAGGGAGGAGAGAGCAGCCCTAGGGCTGAATCAGCCTGTTGGCCAAAGCCCTGATCCCACACTGAAGCAGCTCCAGCACAGGGCAGCTCCCTCTCCACGCAGCTACGTCTCCCAGTAGCCCATCTTGTGTTTCACAGATGCTGCCTGACAGCTTATCAGCAAAAAAAATATCCCGTGCTCCCCAGTGGGGCTCTCTGCCCCGAGATACCCATGCACAGAGGCACCCAGCAAACTCCCAGACCAAGCAGGAGGGCTGTTCTCCGCAGCTAATTTGGCCTCATGCACTTACACCTCCTTCAGATCTGGCCTCAAAAGTGTCCTTAGTCTCCTTCAGCCATGGACAGTCGTGCTCAGAGCCCCTTTGAGAAAGGTAAGCACCAGCAGTCAAGGCTGGAGCCATTCAGTTCAGCAAATGAAGAGGTCCGTAAGGGACAGGAATGACAGTGTGAGGCCGGACAACGTGGGACACCGCACAGGGGGCCGCGGGCTCTGGCAGTGCGTTAAAGCCACTTGGTCCCTTGAAACCAGGAGCTCTCTTAGGCTTCTGGGCCAGCGCATCTGATGCCTCAGGTCAGGCTGCGCTGCTTCAGGAGTAAGATGGGCAGCAGCTGCCATCTCCCTCCTGCCAGAGGCCAGCTCTGCTGGGAACACTGCCCAAGAAGAGCTCCTTGTATCAGCACCAGTGCTCCCTCCTGGCAGTTCAGTCCCCAAGCCTGTGCCTCCTCCAAGGACTGAATAACAGCATCTCAAGACACTAAGGCTCCTGTTGAGCTCCGGGACTGTTGCGGCAGAGGGATGCTCTGGCAGGCTGATGCTCTGTAATTAGGAGTGTGCTGTTACATAATTTGTTATTGAACGGGCACACTAAGCGCGTTTCACAACTGACCCACTTCAGCCGGCTCTCAGCAAGCGGGCTCTGTGCCACTGCTAAAACGGTACGGCATTCGGAGCGGCCACGGGACGTCTCTGTTTGCCGGGAGGTGCCCTACGGGACCTGAAGGTGATCTGGCTCCCGCTCTGGTGGGAAGGACAGAATGGTGGGAATGCCGCACCTCGAGCACTGTGTTCAGTTTTGGGCCCCTCACTACAAGAAGGACGTTGAGGTGCTGGAGCGTGTCCAGAGAAGGGCAACGAGGCTGGTGAGGGGGCTGGAGAACAAGTCTGATGAGGAGCGGCTGAGGGAACTGGGGTTGTTTAGCCTGGAGAAGAGGAGGCTGAGGGGAGACCCCATCGCTCTCTACAACTCCCTGAAAGGAGGCTGTAGCGAGGTGGGGGTCGGTCTCTTCTCCCAAGTAACAAGCGATAGGATGAGAGGAAATGGCCTCAAGTTGCGCCAGGGGAGGTTTAGATTGGACGTGAGGAAAAATTTCTTTACTGGAAGAGTGGTGAAACATTGGAACAGGCTGCCCAGGGAAGTGGTGGAGTCCCCATCCCTGGAGGTATTTAAAAGACGAGTAGATGAGGCGCTTAGGGACATGGTTTAGTGGGCATGGTGGTGTTGGGTCAACGGTTGGACTCGATGATCTTAGAGGTCTTTTCCAACCTTAATGATTCTATGATTCTATGACAGAGGCCATAGCTGAAGGAGAACTCCTGACGCTCGGGTGATCGTTACTCACCGTCCAAATTGTTTAGGGACATGATTGTGTCCAGATCCATGCCCAGGATCTCACCAATCTGATTCACCAGAGAAGAGTCGTTGGCTGGGTACACTGCCACATGGTCCCCAGACTCGTACCTGGCACGAGAGCAGGAGGAGAGCAGATGAAACACCAGCGCCACTTCTCATCCACCCCAAGCCTGAGCTGCTCAGCTAGAAGACAAGCGGGCTGGTGCAAGGGGCAGTAGGACAACACTGAGATCTGAGCTGCTACGCAGTGCCTGCACAATCAGGGATCCCGAAGAGCTGGCAGTAGTAGCAGAAAGGACCATTGTGGAATAATGGTTTTAAGAACCAGTATTTTTACAAGGCACCTCCAAGATAACAGCAGTTTTGCCAGAGACTTCAACGAGGCCAGACTTCCAGCAAGGACAGGCCAACTCCCTGACAGGCAAGGAGCAAAGCTGCTCAAAACCTCTGCAGTATTTTGTTGTGTTAAGCCACCTAGATTCACAGCTTTCTCACAAACACAGAGAGGAATTTAAGCCAGCAAGAGGATTTTTAAGAACAGGGCTTTTTTTCCCCCCCTATGCTTGTACACTTAAGCCAGGCAAACCCAGGCATGAGCCATCCCCAGCTTTCCCCTCTCTCATAGCTCATCTGCCCTCTCATTTTTTGAATGCCTCCTAGAGAATTCTTGCAGCTGGGACTGCTCAGGTAGGACGGGTATGTGCAGCCAGCTCTGGAGGGACCCGGAGCAGCCAGCTGGCACGGCCAGGCGCAGCACAAGAGCTAGGACAAAGTCCTGACATGGGGTACCTGATATGTGATACAGAAGTCTAGAGGGGCAGTGTTAAGTAATTATGCGAACAAGGTCCCCTTCTGAAGTGCTGGATGAGGCCAGTGCCACATCCTTGTTCTTTGCTCCTGATGCAGACTGCTCCTGCCAAAATAGGGGAGCAGTTTCCCATGGGAAACTACCTGATTTTGGAATTGGAGATATCCAGCTCCAGGTGCATAAGGTGTCGCTCTCCACCCTCGTTCAGCTTGCGGTTCTCTGTAACCTGGGCCAGGAAGGGGTTCTTGGCATCAAACGGTCTGGAAGGAAAGACAAGGATCCTCCGGGTTACTCTCCTGCAGGCTCACAGTGCTTTCTGTATCCAAGCACGTTCCCTCTGCCTCCAGAGCAGGCCCCCATGATTTGAGCATGGGGCTGTCCTGGCTCATGTTTCAAAGCACACCACAGCACAAACCAAATTATGATCCTGCTGCTACCCACACTGGCAGAAAAAAATGATCACTTCCCTTCTAAGCACAGCCCAGCAGTCAACAGCTTCTGTCCCATTAAGAACAAGCGATGCAAAAGTAAATAGGAGGGAATGTCACATCTCAAAGAGATATTTCAGTTTGGAAATAATTTATACAGCTAATCTTCCCAAAGCAAAACTGCAAGCAACCATCATGCATTAGCTACCCTGGGCAAGGAAAGGCTCTGAGTGACCTCAAGACAGACGCTGCAAACGTACCAGCCAAACACCACATGTGAACACAGCCACCTTCTCACACACTAACGATTCATTAACTGGGGAATCCCCAAGAGTCCCAGTGAAGATCTGAGCCTGTTTCTCTTGGGCAGACATCTGCCACATGGCTGCATTGCAGAAATGGCACTGCCCACATAGCACGCGTTGTTAGAAACATCAAGGACTCCATCGGCCGAAGCCTGGCCCACGTACACCCTGCCCAGGGCAGTTTGGCACTTACGGCTTCTGGTTCTCGTAGCTCTTGAGACGACCCATCTCACCGGTGTAGACTTTGTTCACGTTCACATCCGTGTGCACCACCAGCTCATACTGGCGGATGCTGGAGGAGGAAGGGGGAGAGAAAAAGAGGAAAAAAGTCAAACTGGAAATCACGAGGTACAGCTGGAACCACCATCTGCTTTGCTGGATTTGCTGCAGTTCAAAAACAAATGCAACTTCCACCGCTTCACCCTTCTTGAGACATTAAGGATCAGACAGACCACGCAGAAAGCCCAAACCAAGAGGAAACATCAGCTTCACTGAGAGCATCGCAACCCAGCAAAGCCATCCACAAAGGAACCAAACCCATCACATCCCCATTCGGAACAGAAATCCAGAGCTGGGTTCAAACTCGCACCAGGACAGGCTCAGTCCAAATAGCCCCACGATCTACTCCACATGTGCCCTCTCAAGTCTGGAAGGGGAGGCAGCACACAGGAAAGGGGACAGCAGCTCAGGACTGATGGCACAGCCACCAGCCAGAGGTGGCCGATCTCTCTGGCACCCAGAAGAACCTGCTCCCATACCCACCTGGACTCTTCTCCTGTAGCCTCCACCCCAAAGTGCTCACACACCGCAGGCCAGAACTGCTCTCTCCAGGTGATGAAGTCTTCTTCCAAGCTAGCCAGGGCAAAAGAGAGATTTAATAACCCTGCCCAAGGGGGAGCAAAGGGCTATTTTCCCAGAGGAGCCATCTGAGATCCCTATGGACTTCCTCCTTCACCACAGGAAAAGGCATTTGCCCTTGGATCCAGGCAGTTTTGGTATGTCTACATGCCCACAGATCACCAGAAGAGCGTCTTCAGATCACTAAGTGGGTGGGAGGGAACTGTTGCTATACCAGCCACCCCTCCCTTCACCAGGTCTGCCAAGGAAGGCTTTGTTATTCAGACTCGGTCTTTAACCAACTCAGCTACCCCTTGCCCACTCTTGGCATTAGGTCTCCTTCCTAAAAGGCAGATTCCACCATGGCAATGCTTATTTTTCTGGGCTCAGAGCCTCCCACACACAGCACATCCCTCTCATCAGATCTTGCAGCCCTTAAAGGTAGAGCCACAGGTTGATGCCTGTGGCACCCACAGGGTGCTCAGGAAAGCATAGAGAGGTGTGTGTCCCCCCCAAAAAAAGAAAAATCATTGTCTGAGTTGGAAAATTGCTGCCTTCCACCATAAAACAAACAGTTCACAAGGAGATGGAGTTTGCCTCCTCCACAGGGACGGGTGAGTTTATCCATACAGGCTGGGTTAGCAACGGAGCTGCAGCAGGGCGCAGGCAGAGTAGGCTGCAAAGCCTCCTCGAGTACGTAACTATGGTCATTTAAAGCTGATGTGGGATTTCCCAGACACAGGATACTCTAAGTGTACAGGGATCCGATTGTGGGAGAGAGAGCAGACAGATACACGCTCAGAGACGTGTCAGCTCCCACAGCTAGCCCTATGAAGTTTACTTCTGTCTTAGTAGTAGAGCCAACTCCCTGCCAAGGTCCCTTCCACGATGCTTTAGCCAGCTCTGACCAGCCCTTAAAGCCAAGTTACTCACTTGCCATCGTCATCTCCTAGCCCAAGTTCAAAGATGCGTTGGGCTCCAAGCTCCTCCAGCCTCTTGTCCACATACTTTCCCATGGCATTGAAGTGCTCATAAGTCTTGTTCCCCAGCCCAAAGACCTGGAAGGGAACACTGGTGAGTGCGGAGAAGCAGGGGCTGGACTTTTCCCATCCAGTTAGCATCCTCTGGCTCGTATCACCCAGCAAAGGATGTTGAAGAAAGACAGCAAGACCTCTCCCAGCTCCCCGTCAGCTATTTGTGGACCTTGAGTAAGAATCTACCACTGGAGAGTGTCTGGTCAGTAGGCACCACCACCTCCCCTGAGCCAGGCCTCAGGCATGTCAAGAGGATGCACACAGGAGAGCTGCCTGCATCATCTCCTCGAGGCACCAGGAAGAGCCTGGACTGCCTGGAGACCAATTGCTGTCCCTTGCCTCCCACAAACAGCTCAGCAAATGTTTGCTCACTGCTTTATACAGAGCAGCTTAACATCTCCAGCAGTGGATTTTCTCCTCATTTGCAATTATTATGCTGCCTAAGGAATTTGGCCGGGGTTTAGGTGAGGTGGCTATATCTCAGCCAATTATTCAGCTCAGCACAGGAGCTCCTGCTCACACACTCCTCCAAGCAATTTAATTTGCAGGAGAAGATCTGGCCCAGGGCTGCTCAGTTAGCTTCTGAACAGCAGCAGCAACCTGTAACTCATTTACAGACCTTGAATCCAATGCCTACTGGGCTGTTTGTGGCAAGACATTACCAGCGAACCCCTGTGATTTAGGGAATGGAGAGAGTACTCCGACATCCGCATTTAAAGCCCCCAGATACATGTTTGCAAGCGTGCACGAAGCTTGGAGAGGAAGACAATAGGGACCGCATGCGACACAGGCGTACAAGGCATAGACATCATGTTGTGCCTTTACCCAAGCCATGCGCAGGCACAGTGGAGGGCTTTTGACTTTCCTGCCCAAATGCAACATGAACTGGAATTGAGCCGCTTACTGCAAATCGGAGACCCGACAAGTCAGCGTCGGCCTCCTGCAGCCAGTCGTAGAAGTCTTGGGCATTGTCCGTGGGATCACCCTCGCCGTAAGTGGCCATGCAGAACACAGCTAAGGACTTGTCGATCTCAGAGAGGCGACTCAGGTCCGACTACAACCAAAGGAAAGAATAAACCCTCAAGGTTCCCACAACACAGTTATTGGTCAAGCCTATTCCTACAATACAGCTGCCTCTGGTGTGCAGAACAGCACCACGTCATGTCAAAGAGCTGATTACAAAAGGGGTTGGGAAAGGCCAAACCCACCCAAAATGGCAGGGAAAATAAAGCTAGCCACCCTCACTGGACTGCAAGTCAATACTTCTACCCCACCAGAAAAGCAATGGGATTTTCCATACAAGGCTTTAAGGGACCAGGATCGTTGTTCACTCTGGTGAGCACCACAATGTCAATGCCTCTGTCCAAGACTGCAGCAGTATGGGACCAATGCTAACTACAGAAGGAATACGGAGCAAGTTTCATGCTGCCAATGGATGACTCGCAACTCCCAAACACTCCAGGCTACCTTCCTCTTTCAGTCACGTTGCAGTGTTCACTCCAAATCTGTAGAATGGCAAGGACCAAGCCCATCTCTGCATCTCTCAGGCTGACCTTTTCTCCCCTAAATGACACTACTAAAAGGGCAACTGTCCCTTGGCCAGGCTCCTTCTGGGTTTTTTTTAGGGGACACTAAAAGGATGTTACCTATCCTGAGGCTGTACATGGCTAAATTACCAAGTCATACTCCTCTGGATCCGCTGCCATGCCCCGGAGGCCGTAGCGATGAGCATCTTTGGAGAGACGATTGGCAAACTCCTCTGCTGTACCTGTCTGGGAACCGTAGAAAACCACTATGTTTCGCCCCTGGAGAGAAAAAGAAATCCCTGTTAAATTTTTATTACTCATTTGGCAAATGCACGGACGAAGCACATCTTATCAGAGACAAAGGCAACACCTGGGATCAGGAGCCCTGGGCTGCAACCTAAAGGCAAGTAGGAGTCTGCACCTGTACGGGACTCCACGACGGGTTTGCGGCAGAAAACTCAAGGCTAAGCTGTTAATAAGAACATGACTCTTGTCAATCTCAGAGGGGTGACTCAGGTCAGGCTAAAACCCAAAGCAAAGAATAAACCCTCAAGATTTATTCTCAACCTCAAGGCTGCAGCGTGACTCCTGAAAACAGGGAACTCCCTGGATGAGAAAGCAGACTTGCCTAAGCTTTAGGAAAGTGCCTAAGCACCAGAGCACCAGAGCTCCTGCTCTGCCGCAAGCCAGCTACTCTGAAGTAAAACGGAAAATACATCCAGTCCCTGCTTCTTCCTCTGCTTCCTCTTGTGTCCAGTCCAGCAGAGTCAAAACCTGCCAGTTCTGCGTACAACAATTCCCATTCCAGAGCGAGCCAGTTTGGGAACCAACCACGCAGATAAACAACTGCCAGCCAATGACTTTAAAGTCTCTGCCATTTCCCTCCTGACTTTGATCTCATATTACACTTTTTTTTGCACCAAATTTTCACTTCAGTTTTTTTCTCTAACAACTCTCAGGCATAGACTGGAAGAGCTATTCCTGCCTGCCCACCCAGCCTTCCTCTGGATGCTCTTTGCAGCAGATAGGTGTCTGTATCCAAACCAGTCCCCCCTGCTGACAGCTAGACAGTCTCCAGAGGAAACCGGGAAGGACACGAGCTCCCCCACCTTCCCAGCACCCCGCGAAGCCCGAGCGAGAAGCTTACCGTCTTCTTCATCTTCTCAATGAAGCTGCTGTCTCTCACTGGAGTTGCTCTGAAAGACAGGAGGAGCCTCCTTTCAGATGGGCACATTCGTTCTTTAAGGTCAGGAATAAGCAAGTGGGGAAACAGTGGCCCCCAAACCATACCAGATCTCAGATGGCTACCCAAAGTGGTGAGAGTCCCCATCGACCACTCTTATTTACCCTGTCACAGGGATACCCATCGCTCAGCTGCAGGGCTTCTCCTCTGCACACAGCCATGGACCAGGGACTCTCAGAGCACAGGGGAATAGCTGACGCCCTGCCTTACCTCCATCGGTAAATCCTCCCGCAGGCAAAGCCCAGAAACTCAGCCCTGAGTGTCAGGAAACCTTTACTCTATCAATTGCTCTGAGAGGTTTCACAGCTGAGCAGGTTACAAGGATCTCATAGAGCTACAATGCAGGAGTAAGTCTCCAGAAAAATCTCAGAGGCCAAGCCACGATGGGAGAGAAGGGAATGGAGAGCTCCCTGCTTCCCCCACCACAGCGGACAGGCAGGGGATCGGTGCTGAGCCATGCCCCCCAGGGTGCGTTCCCCAAGCTTGAAGTCAGACAGGGTTAAAAAACAGCTGTTCCGACCTCAAAATAGCATGCCAGACCGGAGTCCCAGAGCTGGAGAGCCCTGCAGAGCAGACAGACGCAGCTGATCAGACCCACAGAGCCTCCGGCAAGGCGACCACTGCCCGCCGAAGTCCCGCAGGGCTCGTTCCTGCACTGGGGTTTCCATCCCCAGTGCAGATCTCCGGCACAGAAGGCGTTTGTATTATCACAGGGAGGTGGCTTTCTCTATCTCGAAAGAGGGACAAACCGCAGCAGCATGAGAAACATCGAGGCAGAGATTCACACCACTATGACTACCCTATTAGGTAGGGAGCCAGAAGAGCTTTGCTATCCTAAGCACACCCATGGACTTTCAGTGTCACAGGGTGACAGCAACCCAGCCCTGGGGACCCTGGGAGCCTCACAAGCAGAGGTGGCTCTAGCTACAGTCAGATTAGGCACTGGGGTCTTTTCAAGGCAGGAGGACAAGTGCCAGGAGCTCACTTGCTGTATTCCCCACTGGAGCTTCAGTAGCCGGGAGGAGGAACGTGGGACCCATTCCCGTTTCTCTTTCACAACGGAAGAATGCAAGGCTGGGTCTCCCGTGGGAAGAGAGAAGCCTCCAGACAAAACACAAATGGTTTTGGCCCCAGCCCATGTAAGAAACCCAGCCCGGGGACCCTGGGAGCCTCACAAGCAGAGGTGGCTCTAGCTACAGTCAGATTAGGCACTGGGGTCTTTTCAAGGCAGGAGGACAAGTGCCAGGAGCTCACTTGCTGTATTCCCCACTGGAGCTTCAGTAGCCGGGAGGAGGAACGTGGGACCCATTCCCGTTTCTCTTTCACAACGGAAGAATGCAAGGCTGGGTCTCCCGTGGGAAGAGAGAAGCCTCCAGACAAAACACAAATGGTTTTGGCCCCAGCCCATGTAAGAATGCGCAGAGCTCGCTAACAGTTTCCTAAACTCTGCAGCCCAGAGGGAGGGATCTCTGCGGATGTGCTGAGACATTTGCAGAGCGCACACACACACACACACAACGGCAGGGTGAGGGACGTTCAGCAAAGCATGTCTTCAAGCACCCCTTTCTACCCAAAGGTTTCAAGGAGCTCCGTAACCTGGCCTGAGAGCTCCGAGCACTGACACAGCCCCATACAGCACGCGCTGAAGACGAGCGAACCCTACCCAAAAACACTACCTGAGGCGGCCGTGCTCCCAGGAGAGAGCTGCTTCGCACTCCCCACTTTGCTCTCTCAGCAGTTAACAGCCTCCCCACGTTGTCATTTGCGCTTCATTGGGAACAGGGGTATCACAAGCATCTTAGAGAGCAGCCCCAGCCCTGCCCATGCTACCACCAGGACGGGGGCTCGGGGGAGCTGCCCCCCCAGCCGGCTCACAAGACTCAGCTCTCACTTAGCTTTTGGCTCCCTGGTGAACTTCTTCGGTTTACTGACCTCTGCAAATGAGATCCAATTAAAATAGCTGTTGGGTCAACTGCTAAACAAAACGCTTTTAAAGGAGGAGAAAAAAAAAAAGTTTTAGATCCTTTCAGCAAGCTCCCTTTGGAAGAGAAAAGGGTGCAGCACATGGAGCTCGTCTGTTTTCAAAAGGAGGCAACCCTGCACTGAAGTGTTGTGGTGAAGAACAGTCTGTGGCTCAGACACAGAAGCAATAATGAGTCTGGCTTTTGAAAAAAGGCTACACAACTCCCTGAAATTGCTTCATCAGGGTGGCTCAAAAATCTGAGCTGCAAAGACGCGCAGACGCTGAAGACAGAAATGACACTCATTTTTACTGCTCAGCCAGGAAAACTTAGAAGAGAAAGCATGTTTTCAGCAACGACTGCTCTTACAGCTTAGATAGCTCAGGGCAGCGACTCCAAGAGAGTTAGAAGAAGTGACAGGTAGAGGAAAGGGGATTAACTCCATTGTCGGAGCAAGTCTTTAGCTTGTACAGAATGCCCACCCTTGGTGAGAGCCTACAGCACAAGCGACTCCCAGGGCTTTCTACCACTTTGGTTTCAGAAGAAAAAAAGGAGGGGGAAGGAAGCTCCCGACAGCTCAGCAATGATACCAAAGCCTCTGTCTCAGCCGAACACCTCTCCTTCAGAAAGCTCCCACGCCTGTGGCTTTCCTCCCGAAAGCACACGTACATGCAGAAGTGAGAACGCAGCCTGGACGTTGCAGAGAAACTGAGTACCGACAGCAGGGTCTCCTCTGGAGCAGCCTGCCTCCAAGCGGAGCCTCTCCTCTTCCTTCTCCTCCTGCCCCAGCAGGCAGAAGCACCCCACTCCGCCCAGCTTTGGGGCAGCAGGAGTGACCCATCAAGTCAGAGCGATCCCCGCCTGCCCATCGGGCAGATTAACTCACCTCGCCACGGCCACCTCTTCTCGCGGGGCCGAGTACACGCAGCCCATGGTCGGGGCAGGGAAGAGGCAGACAAAGAGTCGCAGGGCAGCCGTGTCTGTCTGCAAGGGGAGGTGTGGGGGGACGGATCTAACTTAGCTCTGGAGCAACACGCACACAGGCCTTTCCATTCTGCTCCTCCTGGACATTAAAGCCAAGCGTCAGCCTTTTGTTAAGGAGAAGAGAGGCAGCACAAAAGGTCCCGGCACGGGTCATAGCAGGAGTGGTCCTGTCCGCTCAGATCCTCGTGGCGGGGCTTTGGAAGTTACCGAGTGGATCCGCACAGTCCTGAGAAACTGCAACATCTGGCAGCAGTGGCAGAAAGGAATTAGGAGTGGAGAATGAAACCTCCCAGGATCCTCTGCAGCACACATCCCTCTCCCACCCGCGTGGAGCAGGGGGACGGGACACAAAACCCTCCCCCAGCCTTGTTACCTTGGAAACTGTTTATATCACAGCTGCTTTTATATATATTCTTTAAAAAAAAAAAAAGTCGACGCTGTAGCTGAATGAAACGATTCCAGACACTGCATGAGCAACGCTACGGGTAACTATGGCAGTGCCATTACGGAGGCAGCTCAAAGGAGTTTGTTCTCTTCAGGATCCTATTAAATTAAATTAGAGGTGGTCTCTCTCTCTCTCTCACACACACGCAGGCAGCAAAGAGAGCTAATCAGACTAAGGAGTTGGAGCAATTCCTGCCACAGGAAGCCCTACAAGCACCAGGGAACGGATTTCTCTATAGCTGCAGAATAGAGATAAGCCAATTTCTGCCCCAAACAATGTCAAAGATGGGGGGAGAAGGGAGGGGGGGTGACACTCAGCGTACCAGTCGATGTCTCCCCAGGGCAACAGTCTGCACAACTCCAGAGCGGGGACACAAGAAAGGAAAGAAATCTGTGATTGAGAAACACGCAGAGGAGGAGCAGCCGAAGAATAAAAATAAATTAGTGCATTCCCCAGCAATGCCACCGCGAGGAAGCGCGGTGGCCACGGCTGCATGGCGATGGAGAGCCGTTCTTCCTAATGACATCTGCAGAACAGGCTGCGGGGAAGGCTGCTCCGGTGGTTTCAATTAAGTCTGAAAATGGTCAAAACACAAGCAATCCTCAGTCAGCGGTATCCCGGCCTGCCCCACGCATGCGTGTTACACGACACAGGTACAGGACATCTCGTACGCTGCAAGCCTCTGCACATGCTGGGCTCTGCTCCTTCTCTGGGGCTTCGGGCAGGAGAACAGCTCCGCTTGGCTGTGAGGGTAAGGGATCAGCAAGCGCCTGAGCGGTAGCCGAACCCAGAGACGCATCATCAGGGCAAGATCATGACCGTTCCCAGGCCACGCGGGCTGGTGGAGCCACGCGGAGTGAACCCAGCCCAGATGCCATCCAGAACGGGGTATTTTGACCGTGCATCTGTTCTTCCACAATACCCCGTTCTGGATGGCATTTTGACCGTGCATCTGTTCTTCCACAATCAAGGGCAGTTGCATTGCGGCATTGCCTTTGGAGACCCGGCTGAGCTGATGTGGCTTGATCGAGGTGTGCTGCTCAGTGGCGGCCCCCAAAAACCCCAGGAGAGCACCAAGGTGCTGGACGCTGTGTTCAGGTCAGAGACTCTGCTTGCACTCTCCCACGTCGCAAGCAAATCCATTAAAGCAGCAGCCATCAGGATGCGTCTGAATTGCTGTTCAGCACTTTCACCCTCCAGTCTTCCAAGGCTGAAGCTGAAGTTGGGGGCCAAAGTGACATGACAGAAACCATCACCCAATACCATCAGATAAAGCAGTTCAGGACAGTTTGGCGAGTCAAGGCAGAGCTGCAGAGAATGTGCTGAAGAAAAGCAACACCTCTTAAGGTCAAGGCTCTCCACTTCAGCCAGAGACAGCCCCGCCGAGGGCTCTCTGCCTTCACGGGTCCGGGACAGCTTCCCTGCCTGCAGATGGGCCTGCCCCTGCCTGCCATCCATCCAGCCACGGGCAGCGCCTGACAGTGTGATCCTGTATCTTGCCGTTTTGCTTGTTCATCAGAAAGGAAACTCCACCCCAGACTCAAGGACGACAGGAGGGAAGGAAACACAAGGCTGAACAAGCTTGTTTTCCCCACTCATTTCCCGCCCAGTTCCAAGTGTCCCATAAAATAATGCTGCAAAAGCTGCAGGAAGTTGCTGTCTCCGTCCCAGAGGACAGATGTGCCACCAGCCACAACCTTGGCTTATAGGTCCACGCTGCCCTCAGACCAGCTTGCTACAATGACCACAGCAGGGCTGCAGCAGGCAATGGCAGGGTCAGGCTTAACGTGTGGGAAAAACTACTTTAAAGCCTCCTCTTGTGCTCTTCACCTGCCTAGCTGTCACTTTTCCAAAATGAATTGTGTCAGACAAGGTCTGGAGCAACCTCACCCCTCCCTGGTTATCCGTGAGAGGAGGTGCTGCTCTTCCACAACTCTCGCAAGCAGCGGTTGCACACAGTGCTCCCTGCCAGCCGTCTCCCACGCAGACGGAGAAGGCGGCACGGACCCCACACAAGAAACACGGGCAAAACACCCGTGAGTCAGCTCAAAGCCAAAGCCTCCAGCTTCAGATGGAAGCCCACGTGCTGAGGTCCTGCAGCAGGACAAGGCGGTGACACACACCTGGGGTGGTTAGCAGGCCCCTCTGGAGTGTGACTTCTCTGCAAGGTCATGACAGCTTCTGGAAGAGGTGCACGTGGTGGGTGGAAACAGTCACAAGGACGGCGAGCACAGGAGCTCTCCAAGTCGATCTGTGCCCTGTCAGGATCTAATTTCAGACTGATAGTGCCATTTCTCCAGCCAACTTAGCTCTCATCGCAATGCAGCCGTTCTTGTTACAATATCCAGAGGCAACCACATGCACCAATACACACAGCCCTCTCTTGCAGGCATGAGAGGGAAAGTGTCTGACCGATCCAACAACACAAATTCCCAAGGTAAGGCTGAGCAGGCACAGATAGCTGGGTTGCTACCAGCCTTGCGCACACCTGTCTGCACAAGGTACCGCAGCCAGGGACATTTCTTCCTTTTAAACCCCTCCCAGCCAGAAAACGCACTTTCCATCCTCCTGGAACACCAGCGCACGCAGCCTGCCTTAGGGTTTGCTCCAAGCTGTGTGCTACTCTTCCCATTACCCGGGGATTTCACAACAGACCTGGCATCCCAGGCTTGCCTTGAAGCAGAGGGCTCTGCCACCGGAGGAGAGGGTCATGATCTGACCAAAGCAGAAGCGATGAGACCAAACCTGCTCCTTTTCAATTATGACCTGAATTACAACACAAACACTGGACGATGAGCCCTGAAAACTGAAAGCAGCGTAACCCACTAAGGTAGACATACAGGTCTGAGATAACAGACCCACAACCGCTTGCTGCGTTTGATTTAGCTTTTACACACAGGGTAACAGGAGCATCAGTCCCCTGCTGAAATGCCTTCGCTTGTCACCAAACATCCTCATCTGAGCAGCCTACAGACAGGTCCTGCCACAGCTTCTTTCTACATCAGGCTGTAACACTTTGAAATGAAGGACTAACGAGTATTTCTTGCCAGAGCAGCACCCGCTAAGTGCCAGGGGGAGAAACCCACTTCGTGCAGAACGCCTTGCTGGTGCAACTGTACGTGTCAAAATCTTGAACCTACTGCGAGCAGCCAGCCATTGCTTTTCCCCTGCTCGCGGCATGGCCTCAGAGCCAACCACTCAGGACTGGGGGGGGGCCTACAGTGAATTTTCAGCCAGCATTACAAACCCAGAGGATTCACCTTTGTTGTGTGGTTACCTTCTGCAAAGGCCTAATACTGGAAAGCGCAGAGCTGGGCTAAGGCTGAGGCTGGCCTTCTTTCTGGGACAAACTGCACCCATGCAGGGAACAGACCCCAGGAGACTGAAGGGAAAGGTACTGCACAACACCAGCTCCTACAGTCTCTGCTGCAGCGGGTTTCAAACCTCTTTACTGCTCTTACCAATGCTCCAGGAGGAAACAGAAGGAATGAGCTAAAAAGCCCAGCAGAAAACTGATGTTACGTTTGGTATGTGACTGAGACAAGGAACTAAATGCACCCAGATCTCCACCAATGCGGCTCACTCCTGGCCCTAAGCCCTTGGCAGAAGACAGGGTGGAACAAGGACCTCTCCCTCTCCAAATCCAGTCTCCTGCTGCTGCGGTAACCTGGCATCAAAGCCAAGCAAGTTTCACAAGAGCTGCCAAGCAGCTCATGCCCAGGAATTATCTCCCAGCTCCCCAAGACTATTTCTTCTCTTCATAGCTAAGGGTAGATAAGATTTCTGATAGGAAACCTGCTTAAGAGCAAGTCCACCTTTCTCCAGATTTATCTAAATATGACTTTTATCAGAAAACACAGAGAATAGCCAAAGCAATCCTTAAGAGTTTTGAAGTACAGCCAGGGGCTTTTCTGCCTTGCCTTTTCTTGCCTTGCTTGGGAAAGGCAAATTACCGATTTGGGCCACACAGTGGGGTATGGCAGAACTGCAGCCTGGCTCTTCCGCAGGGATTTCTGCACTGCGAGGTGAAGAGCTCAGAAGAAACGCAAGGGGAGAGAAATGCACTTTGGGACTAAGTCCCCTCGCCTGGGGACTTCCCAGAATCCAGCTGAACTTCCCGCACAGCCTCCAAGGACCCACCATAAGCACGATGGAAAGCTACACTCACTCCATGCTGCCTGAGAGTTGTTACTTACATTGATTGCATTTTGGGGATATCTGGAACTTCCTCTTTTTTCTTGCGGAAGAAGAACCAGTAAGTAAAAAGCCCGGTGATGAGCGAGATGAGAAACACGTCCGTCATGCTGAAGAGAGAGTCTTGCTGTGCAGCGCTGTCGGGAGGGGACATGTTCAGTTCCATGCCGGCATCCCCCATGACGGTTAGAGGCACTGTAAGCAAGGAAGAACAAATGAACACCAGCAGTCACACAGTGCCATGGAAGACCAGAAGAGCATTAAGGGACATTCAGAGCATGCTTTTCCACTATACATTTACTCCTAGGAGCACAAGGCAGCCCAACAACTCTTTGGAGAGAGGCTTTGCACCATAATACTGCGAGATCCTTTTGCATCCCAAGGTATCTCACTGTCCCACCAAGCTTTTCACTTCCCATTGCATCCATGCTGATCCACCAGCAGTGATTTCTGTTCCCCCTCTGCCAGCACCATCTGAGCAGCCCCACATTCCAGCCAGGGAGCCCAGCCTGGCTCGTACTAACGCCCCAGCAAAACTCAACAGGGACTCATGGCCAGCCTTTACTAAAGCCCTTACTCACCACGGAGCCCATGGGATGTTAGTGGGGGAAGACCCCACTCTTCCAGTCACCCCAGAGATCTGGGGCTTCCTCCCTCCTTTCCACAAGGTGATACGATGCCCCAGACCTACTGCTGTGCTTATAAACCGCAGAGCAGGACTGTGGCGTGGTACTTCTGTGAGCATACCCACATTAGGTTGTTACAACACAAACAATGAATACTTCTGATTTACTATCCACCTCTGCACGCAGATCGGATTTACTATCCACCTCTTTTTGGGCATCTGGCTTCCCAGCCCCCTCCACTATTTCTGATTTATATCCACCTCTGCACGCAGATCGGATTTACTATCCACCTCTTTTTGGGCATCTGGCTTCCCAGTCCCCTCCACTATCTTCCCCAGTTTAACTTCCACCTCCTTGAATTACTCCTTTCCACTTGCCAAGGCAGAGTTTAAGTGACTTGTGACTTCCTCATGGCCATACCCAGGATCCGTGGTAGCGCAAGGATGAGCACCCAGCCCTCCTCTGCACGCAGATCGGATTTACTATCCACCTCTTTTTGGGCATCTGGCTTCCCAGTCCCCTCCACTATCTTCCCCAGTTTAACTTCCACCTCCTTGAATTACTCCTTTCCACTTGCCAAGGCAGAGTTTAAGTGACTTGTGACTTCCTCATGGCCATACCCAGGATCCGTGGTAGCGCAAGGATGAGCACCCAGCCCTCAAGTCCCCAACTAGCCCTATGGCCCCTGTCCTTCCCCTGGGGAGCCACCCATCGCTCCCTCCCTCCCGCTGCTCTGCCAAAGCTCTGAACTCCTCTGACCCTAGTCCAGATCACAAGATTATCTTCCCAATGCACAAGGACACACTCTGTCCAAGCAAACAGATAATTAACTCAAAACTTGATTTGTAAGGGCAAAGTGACTCTCTTCTTGTACTTGGGCATCCTGCCAACCCAGGAGACCATGGACATTTTAACTTGCACACAGAAAAGCGACTCAGAGCCGTGGGGGTGTCACCGGAGAGAAAGGACATGTCCTGTGGCGGAGCCATGAGGGGAGAGTTAACCCGTTCAGCAAACCTGTGCCTGCCAGAGAAAAGCTCCCAGACAGCTTTCCTGGGGGGCTGAAAGAGAACCAGCAAACTCCAAGTTGTGCCTGGGCCGAGAAATAAAACTGACTGAAGTTTAAGGTTATGCTAATGCATTCAGGAGCTGGGAAGAAAAAGGAAGGTGATGCTTAGGGAGCGCTAATGAGGGAGACCAGGTAAGGTCTTCAGCAAATAAGAACTCCCTGTTGTTATCCCACCAAGGAAAAGTCCAGCTCCGGAGAACTCGAAGTACTCTGCCACAGGCCACCAGCTATAAAAGGCAGCCCTGCGGAGTGCAGGGAGAAGTCCACAGCCACCTGGCAGTGATCATGGGTGGGCTCCTGGGTATTTCTGGAGCCCAACCAGCTCTCAGCCCCACGAGAAGTTTAATTCAGTGGAGAACTTGGCAAGTGACTGTACTACGAAGGGCACTAAAACACCACTGCAAAGCTTCCCATTAGGTTCCCAGGGATAACACTAAGCAGGGGGGTGGAAGAAAAATGTTAGTCATGCGACTGCAGACAAGCAAATTGCCCATTCCTCTCCATCAGGCAGGTCACCCTGTCCTCCCTCCCTTGCAGACAGGCTTTCCATCGCTGGATCTCAGAGCCAAGTAAGAGCTGGGTGTTATTTCTGTACAACTGTAGACTAAACTGTTAAGTTAAAGCCTCCACAACTGGAGCTTAGTTGCCAACAACACACAGCTCCCAGCAGGGTCCCTCTCCTCCTCCGTGTTGGGTTCCAGTAAATCAGTGAGGAGCACGTTCAGCAACTGACACCAAGGGAACACACTGACAGGGGGAAAAACATTGCTGGTTTATTGCCTTCACAAGTCCTTTCCCATGGCACATAAGGCAATGACAAACATTTGCGCAGGGGAAGCCATGAAAAAAACCCCAAGGCTGATGGAGGCCACGCTAAGCTGGTTTTGGGCAGGAGCTCCCCCGTTCCCTTCTGAGCACCAAATCCAGCACTCGCAGCAGCCAAGCCCTAGGAAAGCCTCCTTGCACGGAGCACAGCAGCATCCCCTGTAACAAACTGCACATGGAGGAGAGTTTCAAGCTAGACACGTCTTTGGTGAGCGGCAGCCAGCCCAGGGTGGAATGCATACAGGCTGCATACGCCTGGGCCCACAGCAATTCCCCTCCCAGCTCCAGATGTGGATGTTCGCCAGCTGCCCTTACACAGGGCGAGAGAATGAGTTCCTGGGCTAATCAGCAAGGCGAGGGCTACGTCTCCAGCAGCAATTCATTGCCATGCCCACAGCAGCAGAGCTTCTGGCCTCCCAGTGCAGAAGGGACAAGCAGCAGCCGCAAGGGGTTTTGCTTTTTCAAGCCTCTGGAGATGGTCTGCTCTCCCAAGCAGCGATGCCTTGGAAATAGGCATCCTCGGGAGGGAAGCTCCTGGGAATGCAGCGTAGACAGACATGGGGGAGGAAGCCGTACTATCTCCTGGCCTTCACCACACTGCAGCTCTCCAGCACTTCAAAGGGGAACCCTCCAGCTGCAGCAGCAGCTGGACCACCCGCTCACTCCCCACACCCGGAGGGAAGAGCACCATTTCTGGAGGCTTATGAGTCTGGTGCATGGACGAGAGTCTTGGTTTGGTCTCCTCTTCATTCACAAGTCTCCACAGGGTAAAGGTTATATACTGACCTCTAACCCTGGAAGGAAACACCGTTGTTCTCTAGTGAGAACCAAAGACACAAGAACTGCTTTAATTTTGATGATGGGCTCCATCTGGTCCTGGACATTTAGTTATTTGAGTCTTATGTTCTAGCTACAGGTTTTTCTTTTTGCTCTCCCTTCACCATCCCCACCCTTACAAAAAGGTTTGCTTAGACGTAGCAAAAGAAAGGCAAAGGATGCGGAATTAGACCTCACACTTCTTTTTTTAAAGGGTTGTCATAACTCCGGAACTATTTATCTAACTCACTTCACCTAGCACAGGAAGATTATTCCTCAATTTATCTCAGTCTTACCTAGTTGGCTGTAACAATTATTTTCCAGAAGTTCACAGCAATTAACGTTCAAATACATGTCCTTTTCTAACTTTCAGGAAAAGAAACCTGACTCTTACTTGGAATTTAGCTATCCTAGAAATCCTGCAGTCTCTGGAAGGACCCCGAAAGAATCAGACAGGTTTTTTAGGGTGAGGGGGGACACAAGTTTATGATACAGAAGTAAAAGTTCCCTTGACACCAGTTTCAAGGGTAGTTATTTTATCCCTTAATAACCATTTATTATAAATTGTTATTATACCTTCAGTCAAGATAAGACAGACTTCTATTTCCCCTTTTTTCTTTTAAATCATGGCTCCAGTTCCTGGATCCTTGTTTATGCACACAGTATCTGGTGTAAAGCAATCAGTCTCAGCCAAGGTGTGAGGCATCTATGCCACACAGAAGAGTCACAACATTTTGAAAGATTGCAATCAAGCGATGCTATATTTTAGCACAGCTTTTCAGCCTCTGAACGCAGCTTCTAAACCTGGGAATTTGCTTGCTACACAGCAGCTTGCAATCATTCAAATCACCGGGGAACCTCTCTGCACATCTCCATCCTGCCAAACAGATGTACTTCCTTCTCATATTAAAAAAATGTATTCCTAATACTCATGCACGTCTCTGAAGCAAAGGATTGGAAGCACTGTCAGTGCCAGGCATCCTCAAATCCCCCACGATTTCCACGTGGACTGAAGGTGCTATCATGTCACAGGGTTAAAAATATTAAATTATAAATAAAAATAGTATTACAACAAACAAGACAGGACGGGGAGTGCCCTAAAAGCCAAGTGGTCAGCAGCCCGAAGAGACCTATTCTTCTCCCTCTCTTGCACGCTGCCGATGGCAGCATTAGGAGGTGGCACAGCAGGTGCCCCCAAAAGCACGCTGGAGCCCTCCACTCCAACTGGCAGGCACAGCATCACGGTCATGAAATGTGGCTGGGAGGTCTCCCTTTCTGCCAAATACAAGGATGTTCCTGCGAGTCACATTGTAGTATCTTCTAGTGACGAAAAAGCCTTGTCTCTGAAGCTAAGTTGGCAATTTGGGCAGCAAGCTGGCTCTTTGAGTTGAAGTACCCTTTTATTTATATAATGTTTGTGATGAGTTTCAAGTATCTCAGGACAATTTGACTTCCCAGTCCCAGACCGGGACTGCAGCCTGTGACTCTTGCTCTAAAAATGAGTGACCAAGCTCTCTGCTTGACTCTCCTCTGCCCTGTGCCATCATAAGCACGCCGTGACTCGTGGCATCAGCCCTGCTCACATGAGATGGAAAGGAGAAGCAAGACTGCTGACCAAGCACAGCCCCAGGCTGCTCACTGCTCCCACCTCCGATAACTGATCCCCAGGCTCTAGCCGGCCAGCTGATCACAGCCTGTAGCACCAAGAAGCCCCCGAGTTCAGCTCAACACAGCAGAGAGGGCTCCCCACGATCCCCGCACACCCATGCAGCGATAGGCATGAATCCCGCTGTGCCCTACGGACTCTGCCTGCTCTGGCACGGGGCAGCACAGAGGCTGCACCCCCATCTCCCATGCCC